CAATTGGTGGCTGACTAAATACTTTTTTGCCCCACTGTATCTTTGCCCAACCCTGCTTCCAGTGGTAATGAGGTTCAACTCTCAGTATTTTCACCAGCTACAGGGTGCTGTTTACAAGAGCAGTGTTATATAAAGATCAAGACATTTTGTCTTACCACTCTGAAATCAATCAGTTTATAGAGTGGTGTGATGCCCACCACCTAATTGGGAATGTTAAGAAAAGTTAGGAGATGATATTCGTGACCATAGCCCTGTATATATTCATAATGTTCCAATCACACAGGTGTCCTCATATAAATACCCTGGTGTTTATCTTGATTGTTCTCTTACATTGCATGTTCATGTTGACAGTTTGTGCACTAGTTTTTAACAAAGGATGTCTTTTTTTGAGAAGGCTCAGACTTTATGGTGTCAGTAGCATGAGTATGATGTTGTTTTATCAAGCTGTACTAGAGAATGTGATCAGATATAGAATGTATCTTTGATACAGTAATTTGACAGTACAGTTGAAACCTAGGCTTGGAAGTTTTATTCAAACAGCCATGAAAAGCATGGGCAGGATAGAACCTCTTTATCTCCAGACTCTATATGAAAAGTCTATGATGAGGGAGGCAGATAAGATTGTGCATGATACAACACACATCTTGAACTGTTAGTTTGTAATGCTGCCATCAGGTAAGAATTCCAAGATGTAGATTAAATCGGTTCAAGAAATCGTTTATTCCTTCGGCAATTAAGCTATTAAATAACATTATGTAAGGTAACTTACTTATTGATTATTATAATTTTTTATAGTATGTGTTACTGTGCTGTGTATTGTGCCCCCCCCCCCATTATATGTTTTATGTGATGTGGTGGTTGTATTTTTGAGCCTAAGACAAATTTCCCTCAGGGACAATAAAGTATACCTTAACCCCTTGATTCAAATAATACAGTTTTGTGATGATTCAACACTGACCCAATTAGGCAAGTGACAATTCTGTCAACTCTCCCAAACGTGAGCAAAAATCTCGTATCGCAGCATGCAGCAGCTCTTGTAGTGCAGACGAGATGCGCTGGCTGATGTGAAGCAGTTTTGAGAGGATGAAAGAGAAAAGACGAGATACTGAATCATTCGTGCTGTTTTCATATGACTGATTTGGTCTGATATCTACATCTAACCTACCTGCTATATTAAATAAATGTTTGCGGGAATTTCCCGCATTATAAACACGAAACCTGCAGAAATTAGTAAAAGTAGGTGATATATGCTATATATATCATCAACACATCTCTCCAGCTGCCGGTTGAGGCTCGCATCAAGTTCAAGACATCGATGCTTGCATATAGAACAGCCACAGGCTCAGTACCCGCCTACTTCCACTCACTACTACGAATCTACATCCCCTCCAGAAGTCTGAGAACCACTAGTGAGCGACGCCTCGTGGTCCCATCACAGAGAGGCTCAAAATCACTTTCCAGAACATTCTCGTTCACCGTTCCTGGCTGGTGGAATGATCTTCCCACTCCTATCCAGAATGCTGAATCCCTGACAATTTTCAAGCGACAGCTGAAAACTCATCTCTTTAAACGCTACTTGACTTCATCTTAAAAAAAAAAAAAAACTTTTTCTTTCTCTTTATTTATTCCTTCCCTTTTCTAGCTTGTACCTATTTGAACAATGCCTAAAACTTGGTATTTCAAGCACTTCCTGTGTCTGTTTGCCTCTTTAAGAATAATCGCTTTATGTATTCCCCAATTGTAAGTCGCTTTGGATAAAAGCGTCAGCAAAATGACTAAATCTAAATGTAAATGTAAATATGCGCGATACCACACCAAAATTCCAGAAATTCAGGACCCGATTAAAAAATATATTATATTGCACAGAGATTTGTGACTTTTCCCGGTTTTTCATGACAGTACGAACCCTGTCAGTAGTTTTTCCTCTCTGCTACACCCGTTTCACGATCGGCCCCCCTCCCCCTGGGCCCCTATTCCTCTGTTCCACTATTACCCCCTGTCGGGCACCCCTGGTCACGGCTCTATTTCATGATTTATTTGATAAAAATAAAAAAAGGGCAGCAGGCCAAATCGATTGCCAGGCCACCGGGAATTCTCCCGGTTCTCCCGATGGCCAGTCCGCGCCTGCCATTGAAATTCAGCACAGTAACTATTTACTCTAAAGAGTCCAGGACTTTAACTTGGACATTTGTACTGTGAGACATCACTGCATCATCCCAATACCTCTTCAGTATCTTTTTTTTTTGTCCATAACAAATTTGACCAGAAAGCCAATGTCAGGAATAATCATCTGGAGCCATTTATTGTATTTGATTTAAAATGTCTGTTTTATTCCTTGTATGACTATTGAACTGAGATATGGGTTAAAAATATTACACAAAACAAATTGTGACTGTATATCACACCATGATTATTTAGTCAGGAGACAAAACTGAACATTTTGTAGCTTCATTCAGTCAACCATTTTTTTTCTTCTCAAATTACAACAAAGAATCTTGGCTCGAACAATGTTATTTAAGATTTAATGAGTGCGTGCTGGAGATCATGGTTATTTTTTTGTAATCAACAAATAGGTGTTATATAATTATGTAGTACATCCAAAATCGATGAGATTGTTCTGGAGCTTAGTGATGCCGATGTATCGCTCACTGTGTTCTGGAGTTGGGCTTTCCTCTCTTGTAGGCCAGTATTCAACCCAGGTCCGCTCTCCAAAAACATACTGCAGACTAAAACAACAGAAAGTGAAGTCAAAATGACCAATGAAAAATAAGGATGTCCAAGCTGATATAAAGGATAACTTTTAAACATTTTGGTAACACTTTCTATGAAGTCTGTATTTATAATACATCATAAGATTATGCTTAATGCATTATAATGAATGAATAATGCATTATAAAAAACAAAAACAAAAAAAAACAATGTTGTATCATCTCATAAATAATCATAAGTACAGTTTTAATGCATTATAATACATACTTATTTGTGGTTATAGAGGTCACGTGGTTATGGAATGCACACAACACAGGAGTAAAAATAAACAATAAAGTCCTTTAATAAATCCACAGGCAGGAGAACCACAGAAAATGTACATAAAAGGACATCAATACCAGAGCTAGGGCAAAAGACAGGGCTTAAATAGGTGAGGGCAATCACGGAGAAACAGAAACAGGTGTGGAGTGATTAAATAAAAAACCATGGAAACTAATGAGGGAACACAGGCAACTGGAACACAGAGAAACAAAACCAAAACACAACAGAACTGGGCCCGTATTCACAAAACATTTTATCTTACCACTTAAGAGTTCTCCTAAATAGCAGTAAAAGTTTTTAGCTAAGAGTTTTCTCTTAAAACCTATTCACAAAGCTGCTGAGATAAACTTTTACTGAGGAATAGAGAGAAGTCTTAAGCTAATAGTAAGGGCGGGGTTGACCTCGTTGCTATGGATGATGTCAGCATGCTTACTAACTATGCACACAGTGATTGGCTGATAGTCTCTGTCAGAGATTTATTCATAGAAATATTGTAGAGCACAATTTTATGTTGCCATATTCAAATAAAGGTTTACAAATAAAAATGTTAATTGCCACATTCAAATAAATATTTTAAAATGCAGGCTAAGAGTCACTAATTAAACAAGCAATAATAGCTAATTGTCAGCCTCTTACATGTATGCTTCTTGTAAACAATTGGTGAATATGCATATAAACAGCCTTTTAATTAACAGAGTAGAATAATCATGTCTAATAGTAAGATATGCAAACGTAAAAGAAAACCAAACTGGATGCAAGAAGAGCTGTTACTTCTTGCCCAGATGGTTTATGAAAACAAGGATATAATCAAAGGAAAATTGTCCCTGACAAGTTCTATAACAGTCATAATACCCCCACAATTAAGGCGATATAACTTTTTAAAAGCTAATTAGCGTCAAATGTTTCTAAAATGTTTACATTCCAAAGCAGATTGCCGGCAACAGCCATTTTAGGATAGTTTGTGGTTTGATCTTAGTGACTTAGGAGTCCTCTTCACTACTCCTAACGTTTCACAGATTTAGGAGCTAGTTTTAGTGCTAAAATGCTTTGTGAAATACTTTGTAAATACAATCCTAAATTTAGGACTGACGCCCATTATTTTTAAGATTTTCTCCTAAATCAGCGAGTTATGAGCTAATTTTAGCCTTAAAGGGGTCATATGATGCAATTTCAAGTTTTCCTTTCTCTTTGGAGTGTTACAAGCTCTTTGTGCATAGATAAGATCCCTAAAGTTGCTAAGACTAAAGTCTCAAACGCAAAGAGATATTCTATTTAAAAGTTAAGCCTCGTCCATGTCCTCCTAAAACGCTTCGTTTAAACATATGTCTACGTCACTATGTGGGAAGAATTTCATAACACCGCCCAAATGTTTACACAAAGAAAGAATGCGTAACTTTGATTATTGCTGTAATATTGTTGCTGTCGCCGCCGTCATGTCGTGGAGACGCTGTGTTTCGTTGTGAAAGCGAAACTACTTTATTTGGCCTTCCAAAAGAGGACACAATTAGAAATCAGTGGTTAAGTTGTATTTACAACACTATTCCAGAACAGTGCAACCCAAATATTCAGATATGTGCTGCGCATTTTACGGAGGACTGTTTCCTGATCCTGGGAGAGTAGACTACAATGCGTCTGTGCACAAAGGCTGTTTCTATAAAGTGGGGCAATTCCAACTTTGCAACTTTGCATCTGTCATGGGCAGGGTGTTCCAGAGACCAGGCAGGATGACGAAGATGACGAATAAAAGGATATTTAATGATATGACAACAGGAGATCCAGACAGGGTAGACATCAACACACAGGGTAACATTCACAATAACCAACCAACTAGACTACAAGAGACAGGAACTGATATAGGGCAGATAACGAGGGGCAGACAGGTGAGCATAATGAGGATAATTAACTCATGATTTGAACAGGAACAACCAAATAAGGACACAGAGGGAGAAACCACAATCAACCGTCCACAGGGGTGTGACAGATCGCCCCCCTCCCGGAAGGCGCATCCTTGCGCCGTGGAGACAGAGGAAGGGATGGAGGGGGACTTAGGAGGAGGACAAAGGAGTGGATGTGTTATGGAGACAGGGAAAAGCAAAAGGCTGGCAGGCAGACATGATAGGTGGAGGCTACGGCAGAGGATGGATAACCGGGAGGAGGCCGGCAGACAGAGACCAGGGAGGCGACGAAGGAAGTAGGAGCCAGGGAGGAGACAGGAGGGACCCGGAACAGGAGGAGCTCAGCAGGACCAAGGCCACAGCCATAACAGCGGCCAACGGTGGGAGGAGCCATGGAGGAGGGATAGCTGCCGACTCCAGGGGGCCGACCAACGGCGGCGGAGCAGGTGGAGGAGGAGCCCGAGGCGGAGATGGAGAGCCAACGAGCCAGGGGGATGCCGAGTATCCAGGGGGCCAGGGTGGAGCCGAGGGCTCTGGCGACTGAGGTGGAGATCCAGAGATCTGCGGTGGAGCCGGAGCGACTGAGGACCAAGGTGGACCTGGCGGGAGGAAGGAGCCCAACGGAGCCGGTGGGACAGAGTGACTAGGCGCAGCCAGAGGAGAAGAGTCCAGAGGCGATGGCGGGTCGACGCCCGACCAAGGCGGTGGATCAATGGGTGACGGTGGAGGCAAGGGAGCTAGGAGCCGAGGTGGAGCCACTGAGTCTACGGACCGAGGCGGAGTCCCGGCTTCGGAGGTCAGAGGCAGAGGTGAGGGAGACTCCGACCATGGCGACGCTGGAGGATGGCAGTCCCGCAGGGCTTGCACCGCAATGATGGTGGGCTGAGGGCGAGCAGAGGGGCTGCAGGCTGACAGCGGTGGAGGAGGCTGGAGCGGGTGGGCATTTTTGAGGAGCGGGCACTGGAGAAAGCTCTTGGGCTGGAGCCCTTCCTGGGCTGAATTGGGGATCAGGAGCCCTTCCCGGGCTAAACTGGGGATCAGGAGCCATTCCTAGGCTCGACAGGGGATCGGGAGCCAATAATAAACAGGCTCGACAGGGGATCGGGAGCCATTCCGAGGCTCGACAGGGGATCGGGAGCCATTCCGAAGCTCGACAGGAGATCGAGAGCCATTCCGAGGCATTTGCTTTGAACAATTTTTATTCTAATATCAGTATGGTTATTTTTAGTAGTGGCTCCTGACCGTACATTTAGGTGGAGCAGATTCTGGGTTGTAGCGCTAATATATGAAAAAACATTTTGTAAGCTTTATATTCTAATCTCTGAACACATGGGGACAACATTTTGGCAGAGATGGCCTTGTGTTATCCTGTGGGTGATGCACTAATGTTGATTGACAGGCTCGAAGTAATGTTACACGCATAAAATGCTGTATAATAATTGCCTTAGTATTTATCACCTCCAAATGTTGATTTAGAATGTTACAAGTTGTGGAACAATTCGGGTGAGGAAAGAAGATCATATGTCTATTCTCAGAATAAACAAAAAAACACAACAGAACCATATAAAGGCTATTCATGTGAGCACATTTAAACAAAAAGATTTAACGTATAGTCTACTTTGTTAATTTGATCCACTACTCCACATAGAAAAAACCCCAGAAAAAAACAGACATGCCAACAAGTTACTGACCTGATGCAGACACATAGCTGAAGCGGATTTATATCGTCTTGGTGGAGCGAGGTTCACGTAAGGTAACATGAAAATAAGCAGGGCAGTCTCAAATCTGCCCCAATGGCTCTCAATTAGAGTGCGCTGCAGTTCCCCTTTTCACCACAGATTTACATTGCAAAATTGTGGGGCGCTGTTGAGCTTGGGAGGTCTCAGGCACCATCTGCCCAGCTTAGTATCATACATGCCTGCTAAAGCCATGCGTGGGATTTTAATATATACTGCTTACTTTACGACTTAAAATAGTTTAGAAAATCCGGAAAAAATATTTGTTGCAGAATGCTGAACACATTTACAATTTATTATTGATTCAGTTTATATAGAGGTCTATGTTTTGGATGAATATTTTCTGCCCATATAGACGAGCCGTGCCTGGTTATTTTGATGGTACCCTTTAGACAACTGTTGTAACTCTGCAACTACATGTCAACTAGCAGTCATTGGAGTATTAGTAGTATGTCTGCTAAATATCTGCAAACACTTTATTTTGATGGCTCCCCAACAGACATTCAACTGACTATATGCAACTTTACACGTATGCCAATTTATTCTACCAACCCTAACCCAAGTCTACTAATACTCTAAATGAGAGTTAGTTGACATGTAGTTGCAAAGTTGCTTATAGTCAATAGACTAAGGGGAAGATAAATAAATAAATATAAATATTGAATTTTTAACACATTTATTTTTTTAAGTATTACAACTGAGCTTAAACTAGCTCACAGTATAACCTCACAGGAAGCACTCAAAAACACTCAGCCACTCACACGATGTAGTAAGATACTGTGCAGATCTTAAATAAATAAATGTAAAGATATGAGATAATCCATTATAAATTAAGTGGATTTAACATGTTATTAATTGTGTGTTATAAATAATCATACTCTTAAAAGTTATAACCACAAATGCCTAAGTGTTATAATTGTTGTTATGATTATTTATGAGATGATACAACATATTATATATATATATATATATATATTTTTTTTTTATGATGCATTATGCATTCATTATGCCTTAAGAATACCCTTAGAATATATTATAAATATGGGCTTCATAGAAAGTGTTACCAACATTTTTGTTTTCATGATGATTTTAATAGATTTTTGAAAAATATTTGATAGACACCCCATTTCACCTGAACAAAACATGTATTTTAATAACAGGTCAAAATGTGTCTACTGGGGTCTTTTATGGTTTTCTTGTCACAATTTTTTCTTCATGCATAATGCTTACGTCATACTGACTTTGTTTTAGTGGACATATATTAATATTTTAAAACAAAACAGCTTTTATTTTTTGTCTTTTAATAAATATTAAAGTTCACTTATTTTAATATTTATTTTTCTAAGAATTACAGCCTTGAACTCTGTACTCACACTAGGCACAGTTGCCTTGAACCAAGCCCGAGCGTGATTATCCCCACTCCCCCACTGGCCTGCACGCACACTTGCACTAAACATTCTGGGCCGGAGCACACTTATGTCATGTACAAGATAACGGAGAAAACCATTTTCGCTAATAGACAGCCTAATAAATTTATTATTTATGCCGTGCAGCGATTTTCACTAGCATGTATCACAGGATCATAACAGAGGCAGCTGACGTTAATAAAATAATTTGCAGCTTTACTCGCAAACTACAATTCCTGTTCATCAATAAGGTGAGAACCAGACCCAAATATAATTTACTGATTAAGTTAATTGAAATGTGTACTGTAGTAGAATAGAAGATGTTTGCAGTCGCAATGATGACAGTAGCGCACAAAAAATAGTAGCTGTTCCGTACTCCGGCGCAGTAAGCGATCACACTACATGTGTACCGTGCTCGAGCCCAAATGAACCGTGCTCTGGCCCACCTCTTCCAAGCGAGCCAGGGATGGCTAAACGAACCGTGCCCGGGCACGGTACGGAGCGATCACACTACTCAAACGAACCGAGCTTTGGGGGTCAAACGCACTTGGGCACAGTTCAGATCACCTAGTGTGAGTAGACCCTTCCTTTTCCCCTTCAATCTCTGGGCAGTTACACCACCTAGACATTTTTTACTTCAAACCCCACATAAATAATCAAAATTACTTCAGCTCAGAAAATACATTCACCATAGCAGATTTTTATTCAGTCATTTTTGTATTAATTGTATTGCTTAATTTATTTAAGTTTATTCAAGTCTTAATTTATCTAAGTGTATGAATAACACTTTAAATGCATAAACCTCAGGCAAATCCTGCTCTCTTGAAAAAAAAACTGTGGACACCTACCTTCCCCCGAGCTTTGGCAGGTCAACAGATCTGCCCATGATGAGGTATGACTTGCCTTCTACCAATCCTAAATGTTCTCTGCAACTGGGACGAGCCAAAAATGGTCTCACTTTACCTTCAACATTATCATCGGTGCCTACAGGACAGAACAGCATTTAGGAAACAATTCCACTGCAATGCAATTTAGCCTTCTGTAGAGCAATAATCAGGGGTTAAAGCAAAAAAAAAAAATCCTGAGCCTGAACTTTTTTCCGGGGACGGGGTGAGGGAGGGTTGAACTCTGCGGACACATATACAGAGGGTTTTGTCTTCAGCTAATTTTGTTACACATATTTACAAGCAGTATAACCAAAACTGAGTGTATAGGGGAATAGTCAGTTTTAGTACCATTTTAATATGAAATAGATTATCAAAATTAAGACAACACAAAGAACATAATATTTTCAGGAATGTATTATTATGAACATAATTTAAGGACAAATAATAAAGTTACTGTTTAATGTAAAAAACAAACAATAAATAAAATTAGCAGCACTATGCACTTTTTGTTTGCATAAACATTAAAATACTAATATGAAAAATGATGGCCGGATTTTAAACAATCAAAAAATCTTGGTTTGGTGACTTACAACATAACATGTTATATACTAGATATATACTAGACCAAAAATAAATAAATACATAAATAAATAAAAAATTTAAATGATAAACCTCACATTTCAGTCTTTAACTAATTTTAAGAGAAGGATCAATATCATAAATTATAGGCATTTTAGTGTTGTGATTTTTTAGAATGAACATTAGCTTATTTTCCATCCATAGGTTAAGATTTACAACAAAAAAATCGATCCGATTTTCGCATTGGTCTGAACAAAAAAGGCAGACGGGATGAAAGAAAATGTAACTACACTTTCCGACAGCAGGTGGTGCTGATAGAACAGCAGAAATAGAGCAGTTTCCCTCGCTGTTATCAAAGCAGTACTGTGCTTTTAAACACTGCTTTATTAGGCATTACACGGAGGGAAAATGAAAAGCAAATATCATAGAAATTTTTCTGAAGAACCTTTATGCATAAATATAATTAATTAATAATTTTTTTTCATTTACTTTCTTTAAGCACTCTGCCTTAATTCATGTTTTCACATAAAACAAAACCTACGCTGCATGTTGGCCTGCGTGAGACTGTTAATTTTGCTTAATGCTGAGCAGTATTTATCTCAAGTTTTACCACATATTTATAGAGTAATCCTATAGAGTACAAAGATAAAGTTATTTAGTCAAGAGCAAATTTGGGCAGAGTGATTTTTCTTTTGCAAGCTGTTCTCACTTTCAGACCAAATGCACGGTTCTGACACATACATCAGATTTTCTAAGTTTACGTTCATTTAATTTTTTATTTTATTTACTTAGTTAAAACTGTACTCACGAGGACACTCGCCAAAATGGGCATTTTTACTTAATTATTTGTGTATTTGGCCATTCAAGCCAGTGCTTAAAGTGGAAAAAAAGAAGTGCCGGTATATGAAAAGAATAATATACTGCCATCTGGACGCAAATCACTATTCTCTCCACCATGATGAAATTGTCTGTTTTTTTCTCTGCATTAGCGCTGTTTTGAACTTATTACTTATTACTAATGCATTCCCTTACTGGAATCTTGAACTTTCTAGAAGTTTACTGGTTTCAAATGACCTCCTGGGTAGTGTGCTTTATAGTGTCATTCTAATCACGCAGACACTGACGCTTTGACTCGGTACCGCCAACATGTCAGAAGTGCTGGTACGCACGAAAAAGTGCCAGTATGCTAAAGACTAAAATATTGAAGTGCCAGTACTGTGTACTGGTGCGTACCGGCCCACTTCAAGCACTAAGTTCAAGCGCTATAAGACGAAAAGTGAACTCTGTTTTGTGCTCTGTCAGAGATGCGGCTCCCTGTGCCCCCTGGCCTCCCACACAGAAAACAGTGCTGAAGTACAGAATTTAGTTCTCTTTCATGATTTCTTGCGCTTGAACAGCTTAAAATCTTTTGAATGCTTAAATTGGCAAAACTTAAAAAAAAAATCATTTCCTACACCAGCTACCAAAAGGCTTGCCGTATCTGCCTATTTCTTCTATCCATTTATTTTTAAGTCCTATATCAATTAGGACGTCTTGCCCAGGCTTCATAATCTTTTACTTTCCATCCTGCCGACTGTGTCCCCGCTCTATGCTTAATAGGACTCAGTTGCACCTGGATCTCAACCCCACTTTTTCCAAGACCAGCCCCATTCTACATCTGATTGACTAGTAACGTTAGTTTGGTTGAAAGTGAAAGCTGTATTCCTCTCATACTATTGGTAGGCGAACTCATGAACTCGAACATGATATCAACAAGATTTTAAAAGTAGAACTATCTTTTTTTTTTCTGCAGCCAAACGACACACGCCGGAGATCCGGCACGGTGCCGGAAAAACTTTAAGCCCTGATTAATGGAGAAGAACAACTGCATTTAACAGGAATCAGACATTTCAAATGAATTTCATGATCTGCGGAGGGAATAATGGACTTTACCTTCTTTCAGCACCTGCGTCACATTCATGTAATAGGTATCAGAGTCCTGGTAATAATTAAATTTAAAAGTAGTACATAGAGCAGTGGTCGGCAACAGGTGGCCTGCGGGCCAAAACTGGGCCGCCAGCAATAATATCTGGCCCGCGCCCGCAGCCAGATTATTTTGATAGTGGCTGGTTCTGAAATAGATCTGTCATGACAGCAACAGTTACTCACAATCAGAGTATGTGAGCAGCGTGGTGTGATTTTGACTGGAGCAAGGAGCGGATTTTTGAAAAGTTGGAGCATGGTTTTCACTCGCTCCAAGTGCGCTCCACCACCGCTCCATCACGAATACAATTCATGCATATTTAGCAATAATTCACGTTAAACATATAGCTAGCTTGATAGAGAAGGATCACTCAAATCAGAAAGAATGTGAAGCTATAATGACGACAATGGGCATGAGCGGGAAGTTATAGTTCCAAAGGAATTTGTTTGTTCCTTCTAGATACAGAATATTTTCAGCTTGAAAGCATGATTTAAACAAGTACTACAACACTTACTCACATGCAATCGCTCTCTCAATAATGCATTCAAACAAATGTAATCTTACAGTACTACTTCATCTGTATCCGATTTCGAATGAGCAGAAATCTGTAAGAAATGCATCGATCCGTAGGTAAAACAACTGACGAAAACGTACTATTATTTTAATCACAAACAAAATTTGCACCGCAAAAAGCAGGAATTATACCTTGCTTAAATTGGCAAAACTTAAAAAAAAAATCATTTCCTACACCAGCTACCAAAAGGCTTGCCGTATCTGCCTATTTCTTCTATCCATTTATTTTTAAGTCCTATATCAATTAGGACGTCTTGCCCAGGCTTCATAATCTTTTACTTTCCATCCTGCCGACTGTGTCCCCGCTCTATGCTTAATAGGACTCAGTTGCACCTGGATCTCAACCCCACTTTTTCCAAGACCAGCCCCATTCTACATCTGATTGACTAGTAACGTTAGTTTGGTTGAAAGTGAAAGCTGTATTCCTCTCATACTATTGGTAGGCGAACTCATGAACTCGAACATGATATCAACAAGATTTTAAAAGTAGAACTATCTTTTTTTTTTCTGCAGCCAAACGACACACGCCGGAGATCCGGCACGGTGCCGGAAAAACTTTAAGCCCTGATTAATGGAGAAGAACAACTGCATTTAACAGGAATCAGACATTTCAAATGAATTTCATGATCTGCGGAGGGAATAATGGACTTTACCTTCTTTCAGCACCTGCGTCACATTCATGTAATAGGTATCAGAGTCCTGGTAATAATTAAATTTAAAAGTAGTACATAGAGCAGTGGTCGGCAACAGGTGGCCTGCGGGCCAAAACTGGGCCGCCAGCAATAATATCTGGCCCGCGCCCGCAGCCAGATTATTTTGATAGTGGCTGGTTCTGAAATAGATCTGTCATGACAGCAACAGTTACTCACAATCAGAGTATGTGAGCAGCGTGGTGTGATTTTGACTGGAGCAAGGAGCGGATTTTTGAAAAGTTGGAGCATGGTTTTCACTCGCTCCAAGTGCGCTCCACCACCGCTCCATCACGAATACAATTCATGCATATTTAGCAATAATTCACGTTAAACATATAGCTAGCTTGATAGAGAAGGATCACTCAAATCAGAAAGAATGTGAAGCTATAATGACGACAATGGGCATGAGCGGGAAGTTATAGTTCCAAAGGAATTTGTTTGTTCCTTCTAGATACAGAATATTTTCAGCTTGAAAGCATGATTTAAACAAGTACTACAACACTTACTCACATGCAATCGCTCTCTCAATAATGCATTCAAACAAATGTAATCTTACAGTACTACTTCATCTGTATCCGATTTCGAATGAGCAGAAATCTGTAAGAAATGCATCGATCCGTAGGTAAAACAACTGACGAAAACGTACTATTATTTTAATCACAAACAAAATTTGCACCGCAAAAAGCAGGAATTATACCTTTTAATGCTGACAACCATGTTATTAGCTTGTCATGTGGTAGGAAACAAGTTTGAACACTAGTGTTCTAAATGAGCCACTGTTATTTTATTTATTTTATTTTTTTAATATATGTTATGAACAGAACTGTGATGTTTCAAACATACTGAAATAATTTAGCCGCAGAGTGGTGTTTCTGCAAGGAGTGGAGCGATAGCGGGAAATGGTGAACCCGGAGCGGAGTGATTATTAAATGCTCGGAGCGCGGAGGGGAAATTGTTAACAGCAGAGTCATTAGCCCGTTTCACACAATCCTGGGAAATTACCATACAATTACTGTTAGAATGACTTTACTGGTGCTGTTCACACAAGCAATAGCATTCCATCTTTTTACCATTAACATACCATCCACTGACAAAATACCAGTAAACTATGTTTATGTCAATTATTGGAAATTGCATTAAAAGTTTTCTTCATCCACCTAGATGAGGAGAAGCACTTTAGTGTGACAGGCCTAAGGAGATCACACAGAACATGTTTTTTTTATTTTAAAAATGTGAGACGCATAATAATTACTAATAGTCCTGCAGTTACTATATTAAGTAATACACTGCAGAGCTGTAAATTTGGTCGAACTGATTTACCGGTATTTTTGAAAAGGTCCTGTTCACGCATGATCTCTTAACAGTAATTTACCTGTAAAGTATTTGTGGGTTTAGTGCAGTGTGAAAAACTTAAATCAGTGGCATAGCATCTGGGTATGCAGGGTATGCAGGTGCATATGGGCCTGGGCAGTTCGGGGGCCCGCCGAGCTGGGGGGGACTTTTAATTGAAACGAGGGAATTAATAGAGCCCTCCCCATGGGCCCGGCCCTTGTCCAACAGCTTATGAGAATTCTTGACCCGAGTCCGACTGGATCCCGTGGCTTTTTACTCTCTCTCTCTTCCCCATTACACAGCTATTAAATTTTTTTAATGGTGAAGTGGTCATATTTATTTTTCTTTCTTTATTAAGATAATTTAGAAATATGTTTGGAACATGATGTTAGTTAAATTCAAGTTTTTGTTTTTTCAAAGGAACGACCAAGTGGCAGCGGCAGACAGCGAGTTGAGCATTATGTTTAATCAATTTAGCCTTCTCAAAACAACACGACTTGCCTAAAATAAACAGACATAAAACACTTCATGCATTTCACAGTATTAATTTAAACATTTAACCTAGATAAATGAGCGCTGTTAGGCGCATATCCAATCGCTTGTGCGAAGAGTGGAAGCTAAAGCGCGCGTTGGAGGACATGGAGGCGCCAGCGCGATCAATTGCATTTTTTTTTTTTTTTTATAACAGTGGGAACTTAAAAATATGCCATCATTTTTGCTCATACACCATTCGGAACTGCAAAGGGTCAACTTGTATTTGTGTGCACTGTGCTAAAATTGTGTTTGTATTCAGTACCCTATACGGCAGCATTTTTGTGCCACGTTGAAAAAGAACTAAATAAACAAGATTAACATCATAATATTTTAAGAATAAAGTCAAAATTACGATAATAAAATCATGTTATTTTGCGAGAAGTTAATGTGAAAATTCCACCTATAGGCCTACTCCTCCAAAAAAAAAAAATTGTGGCATCCGTCGTTCTTTTGACTTTTTTTAATACTCTGATTGATCGATTCATGAGACATTCGTTTGTATTAAAATATTCCGATTTTTTCATGCTGCAAATATTAAAGAGGAAATAGCATTGATTAATATGCAGCTAGAAGTGAAGCGAGTTATCTCACTACAAATTAAAGAGCGTAAAAAGACGTTTATTTTTTGTATTTTATCATAAAATTGACGGAAGGCTAACACTTTGCAGTAACAAAGCACAAAGCTGCGATTATTGACTGGCTTGCGTGCTACAAATAATGAATGGACTTGAAAACTTTAAACATCATTTCCAAGCATAAGCCTATACCGTAAAAAAAACAGCTTGTGAATAGTCACAATTCACGTAACGTTATTTACTTCAGAAAAATTAACAATAGGGCCTAAGTTAAGTTAACTGAGTTGGAGCCCATAACGTTTGGGGGGGCCCGTACAAATTTGTAGCATATGGGCCCGGGGCTGACTCGCTACACCACTGACTTAAATGCATGGAAAGTGCCACAGAAAGGGCAGGAACTCAATCTTACTTTCGGGGACTTCCTCCATTTTAACAGTCAGATCAAAGAAAGTACAGTCAGATTTCTTCTCAACAGGTCTGGCGTAGTACAGCGTCAGAACCTGAAAACAGCAGCACGTCTCAGATTAGATGCTCACACGCTTTAATCTTGCTGTTGACTGTATAAACGCTCACAAACACTCACTGAGAGAGTGGCTGTTCCAGTTCCTTTAGCAGTTACATTGAACTCCTGGTTTATCTCCACCTGTTGAGTGAACACAGACATACTTGAGTCATTGAAGTAATATCCATGATGTAATAGAGATACCTGAAGATTTCATTGACCAAACACAACGCTAGGCAATTAATGTTAACATAGACAATTAAAAATGATGAATGACAAACAACAAAGCTCCCAAAATTCAATAAAAATATTTCAATTGAAATATTGAGCTTGAACCATTTTGAGCAGTTTTGATGAGATACTCACCCTGTCTGATCGTGTAAGATGTGCATTATCTCTTTTGATAGTCCATCTGACAGGTTTGCTTCTTCCTGCCACGGACAGCTCCACGTCCAGATTGAAGTTTTGCCGGTCCTTCACCTGTGTGCGATACTCTGCCACGGCCTGGAACACCATGATGGTCGCCTAGAAAAGACAGAAAAGCATTCAAATCCTGTCCTGCAGTGTCAGTCCTGCACTTGTTCTGCTGTTCATCACAGTCAAATGATGAGGTGTTAGTGTACCTGAGTGGTGCCAGATCCTCCATAGTGAGACTGCTGTCTGTTCAGCCAGTGCACTGCTTCTCCTGCTTTATCAAAGTCTTTGTCCTTCACAAGCGCCAGCACAGCATAAGCCGTCGCCTCTAGTGAGTGATGGTGCTGTCCAGAGACAGTCCAGGACCGACCGGCTGTTTCAAACAAAAAATAAACAGTATAAAATGACTCAGCAAAACGTGCATAATTCTTTCATAATTTTCAAGTTTTTTTTTTGTGTGTGTGTGTGTGTGTGTTCCATGTTGCAGAGGTGGAGTCAAGTCACACATGTTCAAGTCACAAGTAAGTCTACCAACTTTTAGTTTCTACCATCAAAACTCAAGTAAGTCTCAAGTTGCAGTGCTAACAAAAAGTTCATACTCGGACCATTTTTGCCACCACATCTTGAATTTTGGATGCTTTTTGATTAATTCTGGTGGCATTTTTGCCCAAGGCCACTGATAATTTCCAACTGTGCAACAAGAGAAATATCGGTAGCACTTTATTTTACAGTCCTGTTCTTCATGTACATACTATGTACTTATTATAGTACGATTCTCTTAGCCTCTGTTTTTGGTGTGCCATAATTTTTTTTTCTGTGCTTATGCGACATTATGAAGCCGTGCAGACTCCGATCACTGGTGCTGGTGGTTCTATAACTAGCCTTTTTTAATCAATTTATTTCACAGTGATTTATTTCTTTTTAAATAACAATAATTTAATTACAGTTGTTATAAAGTTGAGTTATGGCGACTGGCAAAGCCGTAGTCATCAATCAAAGTCAAGTAATTTTCTTAATTTAGTCAAGCAAGTGACAAGTCCTCAAAGCTTGCGTGAACCGGATGTTGTTACCCACTTTACTTAATTATTATGACGTATTTCCAACTGAAACCGAATACTGAAATGAGGGTGGAGTTTTTTTATTTTAGCGCACCTCCTCACCATCTATTTGTAGAAACTAACAGAGAGAGGGGAAGTGGTTAAGGATATTCTGCCCAAGCTGTTAAACTGTCATCATTAGAGAAGGAGTGCCATTCCAGAGCAGAAGCAAATTTTTAGATTTTGATAAAAAATTAATGTCAGGATTGGACTGTCTTTGTTGTGTTTTGTTCCCCATGTGCTCCCCGTGACCCAGTTTCTCCCTCATGAGCCCTTATTTGGTCGTTCCTGTTCCTGTTGTCTGTCTAATTAGTCATTCTGTTCACCTCCTGTGTTCCTCCCAATTCCCTCGTTATCCTGTGTATTTAAGCCCCAGTCTGTTCAGTCTTTGTTTGTTGGGTCTATCAGTTGTGTATGTGCGTCATCCATCCCTTCCAAGTGTGGATTTACCCTGTGTGTTGGATTGGATAAAAGACAGTTTCATTTATCTTCATTCCTTCTGGCAGCGTATCATAACAATTACCAAGACCAACTTTTTTTTTCCATGGCTGCAATATGCTATGTCTTCTGCCAACTGGCAACTTGGCAAATTGACAGTGGGCGGAGTCACACTTACCAAAAAAAAAAAAAAAGACATCCCGACACAGAATGCACATTTCAAAGTAGAATAAATAGCTGTAGCATTGTTTTTGCATGTGTCCAAAATATTGTGTCTGCAAACAGTGTATTATGGTATTTTAAATTACATACAGCACCTTTCAACACTACTGTAAGGTACCGCAAACATCTGCAAAATCATCAGGACTCCACTGCCCTCTCTGCAGGCCATTTACCACCGCAGAGTCCACAGAAGAGCTGCCTCCATCATTAAAGACCCCACCCACCCCCAACACAGACTGTTCACACTCCTACCCTCAGGACGGAGGTATAGGAAAGTAAATTGCAGGAGGAAGGAACTCCTTCTTCCCCTTGGCTATTACACTCTTAAACAGGTAGCTAGCTAGTGGACTTATCTATCTCAGAAAACAGTCGGTCCAAATTGTTTTATCTCATTTGAACATTTATAATGTTATGGCTGTTATTACTACCATTGTATATTTGTTGATATTACTCATGTAGCCTCATCTCAATTTGCACATCTGTTACTGTTGCTATAGCTATCATGTTGTTGCACTCAATTTGCACATGTTACTGCACTAACTATAAGTTAATACTGTACATTCACATATATAGATATCATATACATAGTCTAGATTTCTATTTTCACAGTCTATATTCCTACTCTACGCTCGCATATATAGATTTACATAGTCTATATTTCTATTTTTTTCATAGTCTATATTCCTACTCTTGCGGCATCGTTTTTATTATTATGTTTCTTACGTTGTATGTATGTATGTGTGTGTAGTTTGTGTATGTGTATGTATAGTTTTGCACTGTCTTGGCATTCATTGTGGACAGCAAAGTAAGAATTTCATTGCTCAGGGAAACACACGCTTTGAATCCTTGAATCCTTTCAATTTGCAACTCAAGTCAGACTCAAGATAAGTCATGCAACTCTAGTCCCTCACCTCTGCCATGATGTATGAAGCACAGCAAATGTTGTGTGCCTTGTTGACTTGACTGACCTTCATGTTGGCTGGAGTGTCTCATCAAGATGTCTTTATTGAGTTTGTTGGCATTGGCCATGGCGTAGGATGTCAACGCAACAGCGTAAGGATTGGTCAGCTGTAAAAGTCGACCTTCCAAGAAAGAAACAGCCTTCCTGATACTTTCATGCAGACTCTATAAAAGTGTGTGTATGATGGTAAGAGTAAGAGCGGAAAAAAAGCAACCGTTCATTCTTAATGTTTTGGCAAACACAATGATGTAAGAGGTGTTAGTTACACTAATTGATCCAGCACAGATCTCTCTGCCCTCTTGCATGGCAATCAGGACAAAGGCTGTCAGAGAGGCATCAGCACCTTTGCCACGTACGCCACCCTGGAATAAAGCACAAATAAACAGAATATCACAACAATCTGTGTTTTCATAAATCAGCAAATGTAACCCTTTTTATTAAGGTTATTAAATCAGTGGACAACTGAATCCATGGAGGACTTATTGTAAGATTGCAACAGTATAGGCATCACTAATGTATCTCCGGTTCATAATTCAAAAGTAACTAATTATTACAGAAATGTAAGCAAAGTTTTATATTAAATAATAATAATCATTGTTAATCTATTTTGAGTTGAATGCAACAATATTTCATCCATGAAACACAAACTATTTTTATTATCAAAATATCAAATCTGATTTTTTTAGGTCACCGCAATTTCTCTTCCACCGAAGCGTTTAAATGCAGTCAGTCAGTCACATTCAACTTACCACCATCTCGCTTTGATGTACAGCTGAATCCTCTTTAAAGGAGCCGTCTGGCAATTGTTTGTGCAGAACCAGCCACTTGAGAGCGCTGCAGATCACATTCTCCTCTATAGAAACAAGGTTATTGGCCATGGCAAAGACTTTGGCCACATATGCTGTCAACCTTTAACAGACAGATATAAATTAAAATTAGCAACATAATAATTTGCTACTACTAATCAGAAAAATATTAAATAAAAACATGTGACTGGAAGCGCGCGACGCCATTCTGTGACCGCAGCGTGCGCACAGACGAGAGTGCACTCAGCTCAGAAACACACACTCACTTTGCGCACGGGTATTCTTCAAGCCTTCTTACGTCAAATGTGCAAACTGTCAATCACTGTAAACGTGCTTGTGGTTGGCTAACACTTCCATCCATCAAAACTGTGCTGGCTAAGCATTGGAATATCGATTCCAGCTTTGAAATGGCATTTGTTTCATATAGAATAGTCTCTTCCGAGCAAAATGAGCCCTCCCAGTCTCTCTCCTTCAATCACAGGCGATGTTATAACCCAGAACAGAGATGGAGTCGCTGACAGGTTTAGCGAGGTGCCAATCTATGGGGTTCCATTTGTGTCAAAAATGACTGCTTTGTGTTTTGTACTATTCATTTGTCTTTGTCTACAGTCATTGCCTACTTGTTCAGGTAAATCAGTATATGTTGGCGTGTATGTTGTCTGTTGACGTCGTCTTAATCTGTCGTCCTTACTGTCTTGATCCTACTTTTTCACATAAATTAGTATATGTTGATGTGTATGTTCTTTGTTTATGTCGATTTGTTCCGTTGTCCTGTCATCTTGCTCTGTCGTCCTGCTATGTTGTCTGAACTGTCATCTTGTTCTGTCATCTTAACTGTCGTCTCTTTCTGTCATCGTAGCTGTCGTCTTGTTCTGTCGTCCTAACTGCCATCTTATTCTGTCGTCCTAACTGTCATCTTATTCTGTCGTCCTAACTGTCATCTTATTCTGTCGTCCTAACTGTCATCTTATTCTGTC